ATCCCTAGCTAACAGGACCAGTGGTCAGGGACGATGGGAATTGTAGTCCCAAACATCTGGAGGGCTGGAGTTTTCCCATGCCTGCTTTAAGGTATCATAATGCTATACAGAAATAATATTGTCAGAGGAAATATTCAAAAATGGAATTTCTGCACGATAGTGTCCTGAAAAGATGTTCACAAGCAGTTAAGCACTGTTGTATTAGAAAAATTTCTAACTGATTTTAAGTTAAAGCTATTTTAATGACCACCTATCTTTTACTAATCCTGGGGCCTGTTAATAGCCACACACCTTCAAAAGAAAATTTTTACTAATACCAGTCTACTTTGGGGGTTTTAAATTTCATGCTTGACCTATCTGCTTGACATATTTGCTTTGATAGCAGGACTGGTCACTTCTGCGGACTTGTCTGCAAGACTGGACTAACCTAAGTCTGAATCTTTTTACATATCCACTGCCCCAATATTAAACATGTTAACACAGGTCTCTCTCATTTGTGACACTAAGCACACTTTTAGTAAACCTGTTTAAGATACACCTGTTTCATTTCCCTACACACATACTAACCTACAGTACTTTTAAGAAGTTATCTGCCTGTCTGCTCCATAATCCTAACATTATATTTAAATGCTTGGTATGCCTTTAAAGGAAGTACAGTAAAGTCTGCTTAATAAGCTGTATTTTTTGGCAAACTTTTTTGCAGAGGACGTTTTACACTATATATGTTAAGCACCTTCTTATCTAGCACTTTGTGGATGGCTACCTCAGCAACTCCCATGTGCTTAAGCCAGGGTGCTTGTATAGCTCAAGTCTCACAATTTAGGAGAGTGCATTAACAGTTCAATCCTATATATGTCTGTTCAGAATTAAGTCCCACTGAGTTCAATGGGACTTACTCCCAAGTCACACAATCTGCAACCAGTGTTTGAAACTCCCATTGTTCTAGGCGCATTTTGTGACAGACAATTTCATTAACCTAAGCAGTTTCTGAGTTCTGGGTGCAGTACAGCACCTAAGATTTCAGATTAAAACTGCAAAGTGGAAGGAAAGGAGGACCTTTTTCTGCCTCTCCACTTCCAGCTACTCTTTGTAGACAGGAGAAGAGACCTTCTTAAGAATACAGTATTAGGGAGGTGGGCAGGAGAAGAACTAGACCATGTGAAAAATGAACACAATATTTTAGCTGCAGTTCATTCATTTTCAGCTTTGTATTCTTGTTATAAAAAAGTGCGCCTAGACATTCCGTTGTTGCGCCCATAACCTAGGTTTAACATGCCATTTAGCTCCTAGCTTTCGTATCTGTTTCTAACACTGTCTGCAATGTTATTTATTTACTGCTAACAGCCTGCTAGATATTGTATCAAAATATATGGTAAATATAATGTGGTCCCTGTACAGAGATTTATAAGTTAAATTAAAGGGGCAAGTCTATGGTAACTGTCAACAGAATATAGAATCAGCATTTAAATAGATTATGCAGGCCACAAAGGCACAGCTAATCATATCAGAAGACTAAAGGTGAAACTGTATCAGAATGTTTAGAATAGAGATATTTCAGAATATTGCTTCATTAACTGAAGGGCTCCACAATTCACAAGAAATCTGAGATGATCCTTTGCCCCTCTACAGCCCCAAGATGTAGTAGGCATACTTGTGACATTGAATGGATTTATAGAGCCTTTCTCTCTTAATGATATTCTGATGATTTAAGAAGTTCAGCTCCCTGTAGTGTCTAGGTATGTTGCTGCCTTATATCAATGTTCACATTTGAAATTAGTCACGCTGAGTTTCATGCCAAACACTGTTGGACAATTAGTTTCCACTGATATTTAGTAAAGGTACAATTCTGCTAATTTTATGTAATTTAATTAAAGCCTAGTATATCATATACATAGGTATATCATATATCATAGGGACGCGGGTGGCGCTGTGGGTAAAACCTCAGGGCCTAGGACTTGCCGATCGCATGGTCGGTGGTTCGAATCCCCGCAGCGGGGTGCGCTCCTGTCGTTCGGTCCCAGCGCCTGCCAACCTAGCAGTTCAAAAGCACCTCCGGGTGCAAGTAGATAAATAGGGACCGCATACCAGCGGGAAGGTAAACGGCGTTCCGTGTGCTGCACTGGCTCGCCAGATGCAGCTTGTCACGCTGGCCATGTGACCCGGAAGTGTCTGCGGACAGCGCTGGCTCCCGGCCTATAGAGTGAGATGAGCGCACAACCCTAGAGTCTGGCAAGACTGGCCCGTACGGGCAGGGGTACCTTTACCTTTATCATATATCATGGCAGAAAGTGAGGAGGAATTAAAGAACATTTTAATGAGGGTGAAAGAGGAGAGCACAAAATATGGTCTGAAGCTCAACATCAAAAAAACGAAGATCATGGCCACTGGGCCCATCACCTTCTGGCAAATAGAAGGGGAAGAAATGGAGGCAGTGAGAGATTTTACTTTCTTGGGCTCCATGATCACTGCAGATGGTGACAGCAGTCACGAAATTAAAAGACGCCTGCTCCTTGGGAGAAAGGCGATGGCAAACCTAGACAGCATCTTAAAAAGCAGAGACATCACCTTGCCAACAAAGGTCCGTATAGTTAAAGCCATGGTTTTCCCAGTAGTGATGTATGGAAGTGAGAGCTGGACCATAAAGAAGGCTGATCGCCAAAGAATTGACGCTTTTGAATTATGGTGCTGGAGGAGACTCTTGAGAGTCCCATGGACTGCAAGAAGATCAAACGCATCCATTCTTAAGGAAATCAGCCCTGAGTGCTCACTGGAAGGACAGATCGTGCAGCTGAGGCGCCAATACTTTGGCCACCTCATGCGAAGACTCCCTGGAAAAGACCCTGATGTTGGGAAAGATGGAGGGCACAAGGAGAAGGGGACGAGAGAGGACGAGATGGTTGGACAGTGTTCTTGAAGCTACAAACATGAGTCTGACCAAACTGCGGGAGGCAGTGGAAGACAGGAGTGCCTGGCGTGCTCTGGTCCATGGGGTCACGAAGAGTCGGACACGACTAAACGACTAAACAACAACAACAACATATCATATTGTCTCATACTGAACATGCAGGTACAACTGTTAAATGACAGTTTTATTTGCATGTTCTTTATAACAGTGGTAGGTGGGATCAGAACATCTTCCTAGATAGTTAATATTCTCAAGGTTAAGTTGTTGTTTTTTTAGTAAACATGAATTCTGATTAAAATGGTTCCCCTTAAAGGGCTTTGCTACATGCTGCTGAGAGAGCAGAACTATCAGACACATGCACTAGTTTCAGATATCAGTTCTCACCCAACCTTATCATATCGGTTACAGGTCAGAAAAAAGCAACTGTGAAGTTGTCCTAGATACTACTGGCAGTTGTACCACCTCCAGCTAGGTTGACAGAACCACAGAAGAGAAATTTTATTTGATTATATCCAGTCACAATACTGTTTATGTGATGATGTATGATGGTGACAGCACTTGTATGAGGAAACACATAGTTCTTAACAATAACTTTATTTTGTGACTATCTTGATTTTAATTCTTATCACGATACCTAGCTTTAAAAATGAAATATTACTGTGCTAGTAAAATTACATAATCCCCAAACTCCAAAATCCATAGCTGGCCAAGTGTCACAAAACTGCAGTAAGCTTTTGACTTCTCCAGAATTCACCATCAGGCAAGATGTTATACAACTCAGGGGGTGGGGTCAAGGAAAAACGTTATTTCTTGCCTAATTAAGAATTCTGGAGAATCTAAAAGCTTGCAACAATTTTGTGACATTCTGGATAGTCCTCAGAAAGGTACTTGACCAGCTGTAGATTTTGGAGTTTTTTCCCTTATGGATCAACATCGCTAAGTTTGCTTTTTATGACTACTGTTGGTGCTGAGCACTAAAGTTTTGATGAGTGGAGTATCCGGGGGTGGTGTTACGTTATTATAGAGTGCTGAATTGCTACTGGCATCTGAAACTTTGATTTGATGGCCAACATATCCTATTTTAAATGCTGATAGTGTATAAATATTATCACACCTCTGCTACACATATCTTGATAAATAGGGGGAGTGGCACTGAACCTCCAGGAACATCAACAATATGTGAGGTTGGTTCATTTCAAAGCTAATTAATCAGGGACACCAAACTGAGGAACTGAGGAGATGCACACCCAGTTTTGAACATGGCACAATCAAAACTGATTCAATAGTGTCACAAATCCAGCAATACGCCACACTACTATATCATCTTTTTATGACTTATTTTCCTGGATTACTGGACTCTGTGAAGCTTTATCATTTTCAATAAAGTTTTTAGTGCTTAAAAAAAACACCTGACTATAATACCTCCACTTGTTGCAAGGCAGAAGCGAATTGCCTAAAAGTTAGCAGTAGAGCTACCATAGTTAGCAGTCGGGCTCTCAAGCTGACTATAAATACAGCAAGTCTTTGCTGGGACTGATGGACAGAGTGCAGTAGCTCTTTATGAATGGAAGGATCCTACACTACTTCTTCCCTGACCACACCCATTTGATTTGACTAGTAAAGCAGTATCAAGTTACTGTGGTCCCCTTACAATCACAGCTACAAGCCAGTGTAGCACAATCACAACAGTATTAATTATATGCTTAGGGAATCAACGCAGTAATATTATATATTCTCAGCATACCTCCCTTGTGGACCTGAAAACGTGATATGGATAGGGCTGCTCGAGTTGTAGGCAAAAACAAGTTTTGCCAGCAAATCCAGCTAAGTTTAACATTAACTATGCATTAGGATAGCAACCTTCAAGAATGTAGGAACCCTTCGCTGACTCTAGCCCTCGCCATTGTCACTCACCAACCATTAGAGAATCTTGCCTTTTAAGCTGCTCTGAAATATAATATTCCTGAAAATAAGCGTGACTAGGGAATTCAATAAAGAGGAAGGGGAAGCCACCATCGGCCAGTGAAAGTCGTGAACTTGCCGCAGGTGGAAGATTTAGAGATGGTGAGAGGGGGGAGGAGGGGGTGTCACTCACTTTCGTCCTGCCGTTGATTTTGTAGTTGCCCAGCTTGCCGTTGCAGTGGCGAATGAGATCGTCCATACTGTTCATAAGCTTCCCGATGGTCATGCAGCCGGGCTCCTTGCCTTCCACCCAGGTGATTTTGTCGCCGCGGATGTCCCGAGAGGAGTCGCTCTTCTGGCTGACCAGCTGCCCGTCCGTGAAGTGCCCGGTGTGGTGCAGGGCGCGCACCTCCTGCTCGATCTGCCCGCCCAGCTCCTTGCCGAGGAATTCGTCCACCACGCAGATGCCGTGCTTGTTCATGCAGGGCACGATGTACTCCAGCGCCAGCCGCTGCGGCACCAGGGACTTCATCTGCCCGTTGGGGCGCAGCGACTCCTCCGTGCTCAAGTTGGACTTATCCCGGTAGAGGAGCGCCGCCTTCCCGGCTCCGGGAGCCGCCGCGGCCGCTTCCTTGCCCTCCTCCCCTTCCTGCCCTCGGCTCTCTGGCGCCACTTTGGCAACGTGGTTGTTCGTTACCGTCGCCGCCACGGCCGCCTTCTTCTCTTCCGAGGTAGAGTCCGGCTGCGGCTTGGCCGGGAGCGCCGTTACCTTCTTGGCGGCGGCGGCCGTCCCCTCTCCTTCTCCTCCTACGGAGGGCTGGTGGGGGCGAGCGTGGCCGTGGCCTTGGTGTCGCTCGCCGCCGCCGCCGCTCCGGTGCTGAGCAACGCCCCCTCCAGCCGCCGCCGCCGCCGCGCTGGGCTCGCTCCCCCGGCAGATGAGCTTGTGCTTCTTCCAGTCCTGGCGCTGGTGCTCTTTGCTACAGTAGAAGGAGCTGCGGCAGCGCCCGCAACGCAGCAGGTTTTCCATCTTCCCGCACAGCTCGCAGTACTGCCGGTCCCGCTCGCTGCTGGCGCTGCAGCCGCCGCCGCCGCCACCACCGACACTGTTACTGTCGCCGCCGCCGCCGCCTTGTCCGGCCCCGCCGCTGTTGCCGTTGCTGCCGCCGCCACTCCCACCGCTGTCATTGGCCATGTTGCCGCGTCCCCCTCCTCGGTCGCCCCTGCTTCTCCTCGAGCGGCCTTGGGAAGGAGAAGGAGGCGAGCGGCTCACTTCATCATGGCCGACCCCAGTCAGCGCTGCGGCCCCCGGCTGCCTCGCCCGCCTCCCGCTCCGCTCCTGGTGGGCGGAGGACAGTCAGCCACCAAAGCCCAGCGCCGCCGCCGCCGCCGCCCTCTTGCCCGCCGCCGCCTCCTCCGAGGCTCGCTTCTGTCACCGCCTCATAGCGGCGGCGAGCCTCGGTGGCGGGGCAGGGAAGCAGCCCCTCTCCCGCCGAGACTGCCCGGCCCTTTCCTGCCCGGCCTCAGCCTGCAGCGCTGAGGGAGGGAAAGCCGCCGCCGAGTGCCGGCGCGAGCCCCTCGGCCTGCCTGCCTGCGCGCCTGCCTCCCTCCTCACTCGCTCGCTCGCTCTGGCTGGAGTCGAGGGCGGAGGAGGAGGAGTTTGCGCCGCCACTCACGGGCTGCGCTCTGCACGTACGCCACTTCCAGTCAGCCAGCGCGAGAGGGGAGGGGGCCGAGAGGGCTGCCGCGCGCGCGCGCCTGCCTGCCTCCGAAGCGGGCGGGCGGGGCGGCAAAAGTGAAAGGGGGCCGCCGCCGCCGCCTCCTCAGCAGAGGTGGGCTGGGAAGGCCTCGCCACGCGCGGTTGGCGGGACCCTACCCTCTCTTCCGCTCTTTCCTGTGGGAGGAGGGCCGGGAGAGAGTGGCCACATGGCCGTCGCTCAGAGGGGGTCCTTTCGCTGTAGGGGTGAACGGGTCTACTACTTTATAGTTATTTATTCGAAGCTCGAGGTCCACCAGCCAGAGCTAGCTGAAAAACGGGGAGAGGGGAGGAATAAGTACGTTTCGTATTACTCGAGAGCAGTATACGCTCGAGTAAACTGTTCAGCATATGCTGCTCAGCAGCTGGAGGAGGGAGCTCAAAGTTCTTGAGTTCACGCACAGTGAATCACACCTCAAGCTTTCCTGTTATTCCTGTCTAATTCAACATCCAGAAGACCTGCTCGTTGTTTCTTGTTACCGCAAACCTTTGGAAGTCTTGCTGATCTACTGCAATGATTCTATGGTTCTAACCCGGCTGGAGAGCTAACAAAAATGCACCCAGAACTACCTTCTGCCAAGAGAACCTGATGCCCCTTGCGTCAGTGGTGCCCTTTGCATCACATGGAATGGAAAGTGGAGTTTCCTTAATTCCAGAGGTTGGGGGCACACTCCCTGGCACAGATGGGTAAAGGTGTAGTAGCCTTGGTTTTGCAAAAGATGGGTCAGCTATACTTACAGAGCAGTCTAATGTATCCATCAGGTGGCATGGCCACTACCCATCTACCAGTACAAAAAAGCTGCATCCAAACCCCACTGAGAGGGGCTGAGGCTGGAGAGTGGGGAAGCAGCCGCCAGCAAACCTGGCTACCATGTGCAAGGGGCCCGGACATACCACCGGGGAGGTGTCCAAGCATTTCAAGCGGATTCATTAGAGCCGGAGTTGCCTTCCATCCAGAGGGTCTCTTGCCAGCTGTGGTTGGGCTCCACGTAGCCTTGAGCTGAGGCAGTCTCGGCCCTGCTGCCACCCTGGGACTTCCCCAGGTTGCAAGTCGCTCTGACAACTCCCACAGCAACTTGCCGCATCCAGCATGTCTGGTCTATCAGACACAGAGCTGCTTGCAATGCTGGAGTGCTCACTTTGCAGGGAGGCACATGGTGTTTAACCCCTGAATGCCCACCTTCCATGGACCTGTGTCTTCCTCCACAGAGCCGCTCAGCAGAAAGCCTTATGTCACTGTGCAGCTCTATTGGGTACCATTTCTGTTAGCATATGTGCTAGATCAACACATTTGCCATCAGGAAAAGTTGCACTGTGCCATCCCCCAATATCTGTGGCCCCTTCCCTGTCTGACAGTGAGTGCCTTCAGTCCCTTTTTTGGGTAGAAAGGCAATCGAGGAGCTATGCTGCTCCTGACATCCTGCCCCAGCAATGATGAGGAATGCAAAAAGGGAACCCACTGCCATTTTTCCATCCCCTGCTTTGAGCCTCCCCCCCCCCCGCCTTTGCCATATACATTTTCTCTGACCTGAATTGTCCAACATTCAGCTTCACTGGCTGTCCATGGGTTCTAGTGTTATGAGAGAGGAAAAGCATATCTTTATCCACCTTTCTACACCATGCATAGTCTTACACACTTCTGCATGTCACCTCTTACTCATCTTTCCTCTAAACTAAAGAGCCCCAGATGTTGTAACCTATCCTTGTAGGGGAGATGCTCTCCATGGACCCCACTCCCCCCCCCTTTGTGAGTCCACCTCCTCAAAACTACTCTTCCTCATCATTGCTACCCCTGCTTCCTTGCCAGGCAGAGAGCTAATGAGCAAGCAGGCAGTGGCACCTAGTGCTCCTCCTCCTCACCACCACCACCATCATCAGGGCCTGGGCCAGAGTAACAGACGCAAGCAGGTTGCAATGGCTGAAGAGGAAGAGCAGGTGCAGGGGGCTCTTGTCGATGAGCCCCTGCTGGGGTGTGGGTCCTTGGCAAATGCCAAAGTATGCTGACCTTTGATGCCAGTTGTCTCCAGGAAGGGAATGAAAGGAGGAAAAAGGGGAGGAGGGAAAGGTAACTGTGTTTTTGGTGCCATGGGAAGAGGTTGCTTTTCAAAAAGGCTACATGCACCTATTTAGAAAAGTGGACAAGACCTTTATCAAAAACATTTTTAAGTGTGTATCACAGAGAATTGTACTTTTTGGCATTTGTGGTGTCAATAGCTGCCTGTGATAATCACATAGCCGCCTTATATCCTCCGTCAGTACAAATATTATTAATGCTACTAGTGTGGGATCGGGGTCATGCCAGCAACAACAGGTTGTAGCCTGAGTACAGTGGTACCTCGGTTTACGAACTTAATCTGTTCCGGAAGTCCATTCTTAAACCAAAACCATTCTTAAACCGAGGCACGCTTTCCCTAATGAGGCCTCCCGCTGCTGGTGCCCTTCCATCTTTCGGATTCCGTTCTTAGACCAAGGTAAAGCTCTCAAACCAAGGCACTATTTCTGGTTTTGTGGAGTTTGTAAACCAAATTGTTCTTAAACCGGACTGTTCTTAAACCGAGGTACCACTGTACTGTCAATTTTAAAAGCGAATTGATTTTAAACCTATTTTCAGTTTTTTTGTATGATTGTAAATGTGTGATTCATGAATTTTCATCATCAACAACATCCATATCTACTCTGAAAACATGACACTTGAGTCCCCCATAACAAAATAATTATAGGCACAGTAATCTTCGCTAGCCATAGGTAATACTATATTGAATAGGCAGTGGGTGTTTAGATAGTATATGACTGCTAGATTCTTTTTAAACAACACAATACAAATAGATACTTTAAAAAAATCTAATTCAGGGGGCTACATATCGCAGAATGATAATAGGATCCAAAAGCTGAAGACTATATTCAGCAGTAGCCTGTTTTTCAGCATTAAGTAATCATAATATGACCTTCTCACTTTGCATTGTGATGTTTAATACAGTTGCCTCATATGCCATGTTGCTGGCTCACTTTGTGAAAAACAATGTTAAATAATTAATCATTAATCTAAATCTGGTTTCTATCTCTAGTTTCCTCCTGAACTATAGTGATTGTTGCCCTGATAAGGGTTTTCATTTCTGTTTCTATTGTTGAGTGAGTTACTGACAATAAAGGGCTAAAAGCAATATTCCTCACCCCAGCTTTTTCTTTTCTTAAATGCAAAGAAACAAGAGAGGAACTTGGTGCACTCATTTGTTGGATTAAATGCAAATTCTTGCATCTGAGAAAACAAGCTCCATAATTCACATTAGAGATGCTACATTTTTCAGAGTGCTCCTAATCCTTTAACAGCTGCATGATACATGGATAATTCAACAGGTGGAGTTTGTGCTGGTGTGTAGGTTCAGTTGTGAGGAAAGCACTGTTTGTTGAATTTGTGTGCCATACAGCTGTTAAGGCACAGAAGTCGTAAACGAGGCTGGGGAACCTCAGACCCTAGACCTAAATGTGCCCCTTCAGAACCCTCTAAATGTTGCCCTCAGGGCTCAGTACTCCCTCTCCTGATACCCCCCTTCTCCCTAGGCCACATCTCTTAGCAGCCATGCTTTGAACCCTCATTGAGTATATTTGTCTGGCTGGAATGTGTCCTTGAACTCTGGTAATACTTCTTGTTTGCCTGGATGGAGAATACAGAGAAGTGTGTGAAGCTGCATAGAAACTCGCCTACTGTACAAAGATAAAATTCACCTTTGATTCTGGTTCCACCCACTACCAGCATGAGGAAAGTTGCTGTGAGGGGAATAGGGAGGCAGCAGAATAGGTGCTAACTCCTCAGAACTGTCTTTTGGCCTAGGTGTGAAGAAGAAGGGCTGGATTTTGTATGCACTCGCACTTCGGTGTCCTTAGCACATCTCCTGGTACCTAGTATCTTTAGATAACATCCCAGAATTCACTGTAGGTTAGTTGGAATGTGTGCAGAGGAGGTCTGAGGATTAGAAGATAAATCATTAAGAATAAACCTTTCAACATATTTCCACACGATTCTGCATGTTGGACTTGTTCTCTTTGAGGAACTGTGACACAGTCTTTGAAAACACAGCCTTGCTATGGAGAAAGTGAAAGAACAAAGAAAGGGAAAAAGTTATGTGCAATATAGTAGCTCTCCTGTCTTGTGATAACCAGATTAGATTGAGATTGGGAAAATACAGCAGATAGTGGAAATAATAAAAGTTGGAGCGCAAATAGGACCTGTCTTGTGATAAGAAAAGGGGACCATTGCAGCAGCATAGTCAAACCAGTTGTGACTTCCTGCTGGGTTTCCAGCAGCATTCAGGAGATGTTTGCCCTAGAGATGTTTGCCATCTCCCCTTACCCATGGGACCCAAGTCATCTGCCTCATTTCAGTAGCCTTATTTTATTTTGTCCTGAAAGTCCTAATGATCAAAGAGGGAGGTTTGGAAGTTCTTAAGATGTGTGAATTTTATATTATTGCCTTGATAATACATAATCTATTAGTAATGCACCCTCACCCTGCTGAAAATGAATGGGCTTGGTCTTCTCATGACAGGCTAAGGAATTATTTCATTTTATTAGAGCGGGTATGCTTTCTGGATGATAATTTTATTCCTAATGGGAGATCATTTGCTGAATTATGGATGTTGCTTAAACTAAAAGAGGCACTGGAGCTTGCACTTAACTAGGGCAGGATGCAACTTCTTCCTTGTGATTGGCATGTGCTGGGATCATCACTGACTCACACACACAGGGACTTTTCCTGCTCACCACAACTTCCTCATGGCTCGGAGCAAAGCCAAAATACGTACATACACAGCTTTGGAGCTGGCATACAGAGTTCTAGCTGAACTGAACACCCAATAACTTTGTTTGTTTTTAGCATCAGGTATTTAAGGTAAAGGTAAAGGTACCCATGCCCGTACGGGCCAGTCTTGATAGACTCTAGGGTTGTGCGCCCATCTCACTTA